AGCCCCAGAGCCAGAAGGTGACCGTTACTTTGTCTGATTCTGTTGTGTTCCAGTAGACAAATCACCAGGAAAAGTTCCTGAATGTTCTGATGTTAGGTCTAAGGGGCAAGTAGGAGTCAGAGTCAGAGTGGAGGCCCTTGTCACAGCTGGTTTCCCTGGGGTGCCGGATCTGAGTCTTTGTCCTCCTCCATACTGACTTCTGTGACACTCGGCTCAAGGGGTCCTTTTTCACCTAAATGCCCTCTGGAAGGTGGTGTCAGTGCAAAGTAGACTTCGAATTATGTTACCATTAGAGTGACACTGGCCTAAGTCCCACCCCTCCCCACATTTTTTCCTTTTAAAATCTCCAAGAAGTGCCAGAGTTAGGGTCAGAGCTGCATCAGCAGCAGCAGGGAAGTTCACCAGTTGGAGGTGGGAGAGGGCCCTGGGCTCCGGTGCCCACCCCAGGCAGTTGTGAGAGGCCACAGGGACAGCCAAGCACACACTCTGGGTCCTAAGAGAAAGTCGCTCTAAATCCAGGATGATTTCATCCTAAAATGAGATGCAGGGATTCTTGATTAGCAGTGGGCTGGCTTTTAAGATGCCACGAAGTGAGTAAACCTTGGGTGATGGGATTGGCCACAGTAATACAGAGGATCCTATGCTTTCAGCTCTTCTTAAATTAGGGCCTTTTATCTGCTTATTCTGAGCCTAATTATTTGGAGTTGGTTGATGGCTGAGAAATGGACTTTTGTACTTATAGTTTGAAAAAAAACACACACCTTTAAAAGTTTTTTATTTTCTCCAATAGAGTGCTTTTCTTTCATCGAATCCCTAAAACTTTATTCTGGCTTACGTTATTGAGTAGTAATAATTTTAGTGTGATCTTTAGTATGTTGTAAAAATAAATCTCTGAAAACATGAAGTAGAAAGTATTCTTTATAGACTTTCTATAGGAAAAACAAATGTTTATAAATTGCTTATCAACTGTTTGTTTTTCCTACCTCTGCATTTTCATCCATTAATAACTGTCAGAGTTCAAGTTCAGTTTACAGCACAGCATCTGGAAGTTGTCTTCACTGTTAATTAGTATGACTTTGAATCATAAGTGCTGATGGCTAAATGGCACAGTTCATTAAAGATAGTCATACTTTGCCCGGGCTGGCGTGACTCAGTTGGTTGAGTGTTGCCTCATGCACCCAAAGGTCAGTGGTTTGACCAAGCACATGCCCAGGTTTCAGGTTTGATCCCCAAATGATGTATCTCTCTCATATCTCCCTCTCTCTAAAAAAATCAATTAAAAATTTTTTTAAAAAGATAGTCATACTTTAACCTTAGTACTGTTATATTGGGAAGATGAAATAAAATTAGAAAAACATTTTATTAAAATATCTTAAATTTTATTAAATAAGATTAATTTAAACCCTGAATTAGTCTTTATTTTTGTTTCTAAATTCATCAGCTAGATCTAAATAGATTGTGAAATCTGCAGACTTATTTTAATCCAAAGATCTTCCTGCTTTTATAACTAGCCACACTAACGCTCATATTATCAGCCTTAAAAGCAGTGTTATTAAATTACAGAGAATTTGTCAGTTCATCTCTAGGGCTGATGGGAGTAGTTTGGGGTCAGCCTTTGTAGAAATGGTAGTGTGTTTTGTTAAATAATATGAATGGACATGGAGTGGTTATCACTTACCTCCCGTGAAGTTTCTGGAAAGTAATGTTTTCGAAAACCAGGACACATTTATAGTAAGATGTTCCGCGCCAGCATGGCCAAGGGTGAACCTGAGTGGGGGCGGTGAAGGATTGAGAAAAGACAGACAAGAAAATGAAAGCTGGGTCTCGGTGGGACGCTGCTCCCGGATAGAGAGACAGTGCCAGCGCCCACAAGCCGTGTCTTTATTTTATAGCAGATGCCATGAGGCAAAGTAAGGGTGTGATCAAGATGTTTACAACATTCTCGTGGGTTTCGAAGCTACTCAATTACATGCACCTGAACTCTATCAAGCCCACATCACTCAGGCACGTGGAGCCACGTGTTCGGACCATATGTTCAAGCTTACAACTATAGCTGTTGGCTATAGTAGTTGTGCTGGGAGGGCCCTGCCCTCCAAGCTGGGACTTGCACGTGGCAATGAGAGAGAGGACTGTGCCCTCTCCTCAGGCCAAGGCTTGAACCTGTCCAAACACTGTAGCCGCGCCCCACAGTAAGATGTTAAAATTAAGATGCATTAAAATAACTATGTGACTTGATGAATTTACCAAAAAAACCACTCTCTCCAGGTTTCATCAACTTGCCCTTGACATCCTTTTGCCTCTGGTAAGTTTTTCTAGGATGGTCTGAATAAAGGAGTGTAATTTCTTGGACAGTTCTATGGTTAAGTAATTTCTTACCACTTTCTTCAATCCATATAGCAATAAAAGTTTATATTTATACCGTATATTTGCTGTTAGAATTGCTTTCAATTGCTATATAAGAAATGTAAAGTCTGTTTACTGCTTTACACTCCTGTTGTATTTTTACATAAATAGCATCCTTAATCCTAACTTGACCAACATGTAGGATGGTAGTATGATTCTCCTCCTCATTGTACAGATGAGGAAACTGAGGTGCAGATTGACTAGATAAAACAGGGGGTACCTACAGAACCTAGGACGCAGACCTGATCTTTGGACTTCGAACTCCATGTTCCTTGTATTGTTCTATACTGAATACTGTTGTATACTGATTTCCATGATAAATTCTTAGCAAAGACAGGGATGGCAATTAGCAACTTGAATCCATAGTGGCTTTATTTAGACGCCTGCATGTACATATTTTATTGTATGTGTTTATATGTAATATTTGTCATACATAACAATTATAATCCATAGTGCCTTATTTTTAGATTTATAGTTGAGAACCAGTTGTTATTATAGTGGGAATTATCTTAAAATCCTAGAATAAGAGATTTTGAAGACTATTCAAAACAGTGGTGTAGATTGGGTATTATCTCTCTCTTTTTTTTTTTTCTTTCTGTGATGAATGAGGACCCAGTGTGCTGGTGTTTAGCTATAAAGGTGAAGCTGACTTCACCAGGAGTATTTTCTTGGTATTTATAGGTCCTCTTTGACACGAATCCTTTGGTTAGCTTGTTCCTGTAATTCATTTATACTTACATAGTGGCTGCTGAAGGATAGTTGGTAAAACATGCATTCATTTATATTGAAATATATGTAGGAGTGCTGTATTCATACTACTAAGGACAGCTGTGCTAGCGATGAAGTGTGCAATTAAAGAAGTTGCTTACTACATTTCTTTTTGACCTAGATTCACATTAGGCAATTCGTGACTGTTTAGGATATTGTAATACATCTGCATAGCACTTTACGCTTTTCAGTGTTTTTATATATTTGCTCCTAACAATAAACCTGTTTAGACTAGTGAAATGACATGACTATTATCATATTACAAATGAAGAAATCTGACTTGGAAATAGTATAGCACTGTGGTTAAGAATATGAGGTTTGTTTGTTTTTGTTGCTGTTTGTTTTTTAACAGAATATGATTATATTTATTACATAAGTTTGATACAATCAAAAAGTAAAACACCAGAGTAAAATAGTAACAAAAAACATGATATTTCATTTGCAATGCATGAGAAATGGTTAACATCTTTAGTCATAAACAAGCTCTTAAAAACCAGTTACACTATAATAATGCAAGGAAACTGGAAAAAATAAAATGAAAAAGTACAAGTGATGATTAAGCATTGAGCATATATGATTTTGCTGAGCAGTGATGAAGAATAATTTCTCTGCAGTGTCAGTGAGCAGAATAAAGACACTGACACCTAATATTCTACAGTTTTGAACAGTGTTGCGCAGTGTGAACTCTCAAACACTGGGAGGCAGATTAATGAGAAGGACCTATAATGAGGGGGAAAGCTAACTTTTGAATCTATATATAAATTGAGTATTTTTGGCCAGAGCAATTCCAATTCATTGGTATTATTTCAACAAGTTAAGAATATGAGTTTTTATATTATTATATAATCTTTTATGAATGAGACCAGAATCCTGGCTTTACAGCAAGTTAATCTCTCTAAGCCTTGGTATCCTAATCTGTAAAATGGGGGACCTTGTGAGGTTGTGGGAGAGTTTAAATGAGATAAAGAGTAGAAAGTAGGTAATCAATATAGTGGGCAATCAATAAATACTGGGTAGCATTATCGTCTTCAGAGGTTATATTACACATTTATTTAACTCAACAAAACTTGAAAGCCCCTTCTATGTGCTAGTCACTGGGCTAGGCATCAGGGACATGATGGTGAACTAGACAGATAGGGTCCTTACTCTAATATAATTTACATTTTAGTGGTAAAAATGGTAAAGGAGTCAATAAGAATTTCATGGAGTGTAAGGGCTTTGAAGAAAGTCAAAGGGGACAGTATTTGAAAAGGGCATCCTCAGGTTGGGAAATTCTGTTGGAGAAAGTGGCATTTGATCTCAGACTCAAGTGGCCACAGCCATAAGAAGGTCGGGGAGCCTTGGCTGGGTAGCCCAGTTGGTTAGAGCATCGTCCAATGCTCTTAGGTTGCGGGTTCAATCCCAGTCAGGGCACATAAACCAATGAATGCATAAATAAGTGGAACAACAAATTGATGTGCCTCTCTCTCTCTCTCTCTCCCTCCCTCCCTCTCCCCCTCTCGCCCCCCTCCCTTCCTCTCTCCCTCCCTCAAATAAATTTTTTTTTTAAAAAAAGGTCTGGCGGAATAGCCTTCCAGGAGGGGGAAAATGGCAGTGCAAAGTCTGAGAGGCAGGATGATGGATTGTGTAAGATTTGTAGGCCAGGGTAAAGAGCTTGGGTTTCTTTCAAGTGTGGGGTTTTGAGCAGGGGAGGGATATGTCCAACTTTGGGCAAGCACTAGGCAAGGTGTTAGGAAGGAGACAAAGGTATAGGCAAAACATTTCTTCCTTCCTGTAGTTTATAGTCTTTGGTGTCATAAAACCAGTGCCTGGCAGATTAGCAGTTAGAGCACTGCAGTGTTTCTGCTGGCGTGCTCCCAATCTGATAATGGATGCTATGTGTCATGTATGCTCCCAGCAGTCATCTCTGACGTGACATTATGGTTCTTGTTATCTACCAATGAATCTCTCTTAACAGTCTAAAGGGCGTGGAGGATGGAGGCAGAGTTGGGGGGCAGGGAGAAAAAGAGTCTATTTCTGAACACTGGATACAAAACAGGGATTAGGAAGTAGGGGAGTGAAGGGGAAAGGCAAGATCCTGTTGTGCACAGAGATGTGGCTCCTTAAGGTGGCATGGGCTGGGTCATGTTTCTCCCAGGTTGGTGAATCCAGGCTGTCCAACCCCAGATGCCACTGTGGCTTTGTAGCTCGAGACTGTTTATTGGCAACTTTTCTCATTTCCACTAAGGGCAAAAGTGGCAGCAATATCCTGTGTTTTCTTCTCCAAATAGGGTTCCAGTCCCTTGGAAGTCTGTTTCTTTGAATCATCCCATCAATTTAATGTTAATCAATTAACATTCTAATAATTATATGAAATTGTTATCATAGCTAACATTTATTTAATGCTTACTGAGAGCTAGTTATAAGCTCCTTTATCTACATTATTCTACTAATCCTAAACCCTCTGAGGTAGACACTACTATCCTTTTTGTTTTACTGATGGGGAAAACGAGGCACAGAGAGCTTAATTAATCTGCTTGTGGTCCCAGAGCAGGTCAATGAAGCCAGTGCTCAAACCATGCTTAACACTAGACTGAAGAATATGTCTTTACTTGGTTATTTATGGGCTGATAAGAAAGGGATGGAGTGGTGGTCTTTTATTGAAGAAAGTAGACTAGCTGAGCAAGACAATGCCAGTTTTAAGAAGAAATATAGAAGCTCTATAGCACCATGCCATAAACCTTTCTGTCCTGAAGTGTTCTACCTGTGCACCATTAAGTGAAATGCATTAAGGGAGGCTATTTATTGTGTTGTCCCTTATAGAAAGTGGCTATTGCCCAACTGTCTTGGCTCAGTGGTTGAGCATCAACCTATGAACCAGGAGGTCACGGTTCAAGTCTCGGTCAGGGCACATGCCTGGGCTGCGGGCTCAGTCCCCAGTGGGGGCGTGCAGGAGGCAACTTCTTTAAATTTTGGATTTGATTGAAGGTTGGATCAGTCACGTAATAGCTGTGTGTCCTTGGACAAGTTTCTTTTTTGTTTTTTTAAATATATTTTATTGATTTTTTACAGAGAGGAAGGGAGAGAGATAGAGAGTTAGAAACATCGATGAGAGAGAAACATCGATCAGCTGCCTCCTGCACACCCCCTACTGGGGATGTGCCCGCAACCAAGGTACATGCCCTTGACTGGAATCGAACCTGGGACCCTTCAGTCCGCAGGCTGATGCTCTATCCACTGAGCCAAACTGGTTAGGGCAATAAAAATATATTTTTTTTAAAAAGAAAGTGGCTTACCAGTTACAGATTGTGGTTATTACCTCTTTTGTGGTTTTCTATTGTAAAACAATATAATATTATTAATATCAAAATTTATAAGTCAAGAAAAACTTTACCCCCAAATTAACTGTTTTTATTTTTTCACATTCACTTCCAGTTCTTGTGTTTATTTGTGTATAACTTGTACACACTTATAGAATGTCCATTAATTTTTCATTTAACATTATGTGATATGTAATGAGCTTTAAAGTTAAGCAGTAAGTCTATCCAGTGAAAAGGAAAAGATTGCAATATGAAAAGGGTAAAAGGCATTCGTAATCGATTGGGGTGATGTCTACCAGGCAGCCACGTCAGATTTGGAGCTGGCCTTGGAAGGAGCAGCTGTATTTTTGGACCTTGGAAACTCTTCATCTTTCCATGTAGTCTGTCAGGCTTCCAAGGAAGTCAGGGGGAAATGGAAAAATACAGTGATTTGGAACTGATGTGAAACTAACAAGCTGCTGGAGTTCAGTGCTGCAAAAGAGGAAAAACAGTCCCTGCCTGATGTGGTACTTCAGTAGAGGGTAAAGCTTTAGTGAATGGGCTGTGCGTTGTTTGTCAGAATTGTTTGTCAGAATTATCAATAGTGGTGATAAAAGCAGTTTTATCAGACTGGAAGAACAAAGTACTTGACAAATACTATTTTAGTGATAAACTCAGCTTAAATATCCTGTATTTAAGTTGAGTTTTAATTCAAAGTGGCTTTTAAGTTCCAAATTTATGTAACTATAGACTAGCCACATGGTATTCAAAGGCCTCCTTGATCTATCTCCAAACACCCTAAGGAAGATGGCACATTCAAGATCTTTACTGATAGCCACCCCCACATCCCTCCCACCCCTGACCAAATTACCCTTTTCTCTTGTGCAGGCAGATGCGACAAGAGGTCAGTTGAGTGAAAGGCAATGGGACAAAGTAGAAATGCTGTTAAATCAGTTTGGAGAAGGCCTGAGACAGTTGATAGGGACATTTGTTTCCTCTTTTCTCCTTTATAAAATAAGTAAAATTCAAGTAATTTTTTTTTTTTTGGCGGGGGAGGGCTTTGACACATAGATGATCTGATCGAGTTCATCTTACACAGCAGATCTCTGAGAACATAGTTTACATAAACTAGAATTACAAAATCAGGTTTTATGTTATGTTCAGGCCATTACACTTTAAATTAAGGACACCTACATTTGAGGTATGAACTGGAATATTTAATTGTGAGACATATCATTGTATCAGAACATTTGGTTGCTTTAAGACACTTCTTTGTGTGTGCTCTAAGACTTTTCCCCCTTACTTCGTCATAACAAAATGTGAGACAGATGTTGGTACTGGAGCATATATATAGGTCAGGGGAGATGTGTTCTAAATGAAATGCCGCCCCAGTGGAGTCCGCACCGTTACAGTGCTATTTCCAGGGGAGCAGACCTTCCTGTTAGGTTCATGGTAAAGGCTTTCTTCTCTGCCACAGAAACTTGTTTTTGTGACAGTCTTCAGTGAACCTGTTTGATTTCACTTGTGGCTTCCTTTGTGTTTACATATAAATAGTACCTGGAAAGAAGCGTCTTCCCCTAAGATGATATTTTTTGGAGGGGCCTCTACCATTTTGGGGGAGCACTTCAGTTGAGTAACCACTGTGTACTCTCAGCTGCGGACATCCTGTTGTGTGTGTGGAGTTGCCGGTGGCCTGGCACACATTACATCTGCCCTCGGAGGCTGCAGCCTTGCCAGGCAGAGAGACCACTCATGTTTGCTCCTGCTGTTTGCTGGGTGCCTCTGTTTCTGAGAATGCACTTCTTCCCAGGGCCCCAGACCTAGGTTCCATGTAGCCTGCATCCATGCTCCCACCTGCCCATCCCTGATCTGATGGAATGCACTAGGATACTAGAGTAGCTCTTCCCATAAGGATAATCTGTTGTGTTTTTCTTTTTCTTTTTTGTTAATCCTCACCCGAGGAGATATTTTCCATTGATTTTTAGAGAGTGGGAGAAAGGGAAGGGAGAGAGAGAGAGAGAGAGAGAGAGAGAGAGAGAGAGAAAGAAATATCCATGTGAGAGACACATCGATTGGTTGCCTCCTGCACATGCTCTGACTGGCACTGGGGATTGAGCCCACAACCAAGGTACGTGCCCTTGACCAGAATCAAACCTGAGACCCTTCAGTCCGTGGGCCAATGCTCTACCTACTGAGCCAAATTGGCTAGGGCATAATCTGTTTTTTAAATAGGCAGCAATGTATAGTAGATAAGAGCATGATTTAAGCTTCCTGTGTTTGAATCCTGGCTGGGTTACTGACTAGCTTTTTAGAGAGAGGGAGGGAGGGGGGGGGGAGAGAGAGAGAGAGAGAGAGAGAGAGAGAGAGAGAGAAATAAATATCCATGTGAGAGACACATCGATTGGTTGCCTCCTGCACATGCTCTGACTGGCACTGGGGATTGAGCCCACAACCAAGGTACGTGCCCTTGACCAGAATCAAACCTGAGACCCTTCAGTCCGTGGGCCAATGCTCTACCCACTGAGCCAAATCGGCTAGGGCATAATCTGTTTTTTAAATAGGCAACAATGTATAGTAGATACGAGAGATAAGAGCATGATTTAAGCTTCCTGTGTTTGAATCCTGGCTGGGTTACTGACTAGCTGGTCAAGTTACTTAATCTTGGTCAAGTTACTTAATTTTTCTGTGCTTTGGTTTCCTTAGGTAAAAAGGGGCTATTAATAACTCCCTTTTTATAGGGTTGTTATGATGAGTAAATGAATTAATATTTATAAACACTTAGAACTATATCTAGCATATGGTAAACATTATATAAGCATAAAGTAAACAAATACTTTTTTCTGATTATAAAAATAATACACTAACATTGAAGAAAACTTGGAGAATTCAGAAAAGTATTGCTTAGCAAGAGTCGGAAGGAATAAAAAGATGGGCAGTCAAGATGGCAGGAGTGTATTTCGGCAGGGAGTGTTGTGATGTCAAGGAGCTGAGACTAGAGGCTGGTCTTTGAACCCCTAGCCTGGTTGTCTTAGACATCATGATGTTCACTTGTTTTTCCAGTTCCTAGATCTGTCTTCCACCCTTGATAAATCAATGAATTTGCTACACTAGTATTTGAGGAATCTTCAGCGAGCTGGCCTTGAGCCAGCATTCTACCTCCTTGCTCGATGGCCTTTTAGAGAATTAATCCTTGTGAGCCTCAGGTTTCCTACCGTTGAAATAGAGTTAGTATTCCCGGTCTGGCAGGGGTGCTGCCAGGATTAAATGACCTCTGTCCACGGTCCTGTGTCTGGCCGGGTGCTGGTTGGATGTTCTTTTCCCTTGGTTCCTTCCCGGCTCTTCTAACAGTGCTGGAGCTGATGTATACAGAAGGCCTCTGGTTGCCTCAGGGAAGGAGGATTCTGGGGAGTTGTATGGTTTGACTCTTCACAACAACAAAATTAGGAAATATGTAAAGTTATGTGTTATTGTTGTTTTTTTAAAGAATTTTTAAATGATTTCAGAGAAGAAGGGAGAGGGAGAGAGAGCGAGCCCCCCACTGGGAGACTGAGCCCCCAACCTGGG